GCCCTTGCTTGAAAGGATGACTCTCCTGTTGAATAACAATGTTTTCCAATTCGATAGTAGTAGGAACGTCTTTATGTTTTTCTAGAGTCACTAGGATGTGTCTTTTCAGATCGATCATTTGAAAAACACCAGGTTGTCGCACGGTAGTCTCGTTTGTTTCGAACACATGAATGACATTGGATACTATGGGAAATGGTTCATTGTCTATCTAATAACTGCATGTGTGATTAATCTATCATAAAAACTTGTCAAATAAAAGTAAGGTTGTAGACTTCTGCGTGTGGTCACAGACATCTGCATCCCCAAGGAAAAGGAGACGAAGTAAAATTTCAAAGACAAATCAAGTCATTACCAGACCGTTAATTTTAAGGACTCTTGTGTAAAGTTTAGATACAAGCTGAGGTAGCGTTGAATTTTTCACCTTTTTGATATTTTTCAAAGTTTTTTTTGTAACACAGATAAGAAATTTTTTTTCTTAAGAAGAAATAAAGACTACTACTGCAACAACCCGAACGTACGAAACTGCCTCCATTTTAGCTTCTAGGAAAAAACAACTGGACTGAGAGATCTAACCTGAGGTCGAGGCAGGATACGTGCTCTCCTTTACATCGTCTTTTGAAGAGAATTAATACAACCCTTTAACACCTATGAATGATCAAGACAAAATTTCTCCTCAAAGTGATAGTAAATATCAAGCAGACTAGTGATGAGAATGAAGTAAAATATAAATTAGGGTATTATTGGTTGATCTAAAACCAAATTTTCCAAACTAATATCATAAAAAATGTATGACAGACAGTAAAGAGATCACAGAAGTGAAAGAGTTAAGGGTATGGCAGAACCCATAAGTCTTTTGTATTCAAATGAAAACAAGGTTGTAAGCAGTGGGATCAGGGCATGGCTCTCGAAGTTTGAGGAGGTGTCATTCCGTGCTCTGCTCCTAGTATTTTTAAAACCCTGAAGAGCATGAGCAAAAATCAACGGTCACGTAAAGGAACACAGAACCTACGAGAAGAAATACCTAGAGATAAAAATTTGGAGAATTAATCCGACTGGTCAAAAGTTTGGTGGTAAAAATCGATAAGCAAGACATGATGTCTTGTGTGTTAAACTTCAACAACTCAAGTCCAAAACTGCTAACCTGTTGGGTGAGATTTACGACTTACTGCAAGGGCTTGATTTTACTAATGAGGAAGTTGAGATGCTAAAAGATACCTTGAGTAATAAACTCGGGTTACCATTTTAGAAAAAAAAAACTCGAGGGCCTTGAGAACCGATCAAAAAAAAGACAACATTGTCATGTGGAACATTCCTGTAGGCGCCGAGAAAGATTCTTCCTGTCAAGACATCGTGAGTAACATACTGAGACAGCACATAAAGTTGGAAAGCAATGCGCGCTCAATCATCGAACAAACATAAGAAGGCAAAGTACAACTGAAAAAAAAAATATTTCACTGCTAACGAGTATTTATCACGTTACACAGATAAGCAATATATTCCCCAAAGGGCTGCGTCAGCATTAAAAGATAACTCTCTCTTGGAGGCAAATCGGTACATCTCGGACGACGTAAAGAAGGAAGTGAGAGACGACCAAAAGAAGCTGAGGGACAGGCACTGTTGTACGTAAGTTAAAAGTTAATTAAGACAATTGCTAAAAAAAAAAAAAAAAAAAAAAAAAAAAAAAAAGTTAGTGAGCAGTGAACAATGCGTTAAATTTTTAATGCGGAAAAGTATTTTTGGGAACCAATTATTGTTCTCTCGAAGTCTTTCTTCGCATTTAAATTGTGCTTAAATTGGTGCGACAAGACGATGTGCGAATTGCCATTGTGGGAACTGGTTTTCAATCCGATCATGTCTCCATGTTTAGAGTCTCAAACTGTCATGTGTATAGGTACACTGATAACATAAAAACGCTTGTTTTCACATGTTGTATTCTGTGAGTCTTTGAAACATAGAAGCTGTTTTCATTTTTTAAAACCATGTTAACGCCGGATTCAGCACGAAATTGGAGTGGACCTCACTTCGAATAGAGTTAGAGCTAACAAATAGTTTTGGTCTTCAGGATCAAATCAGGAGTTTACATGAACCAGTGAAAGGGAGGAAAAAACATAGATTTGAAACTTTACACTAATAAAAACAAACAAACAGATTAAATGGGGAATTGTCTTTAGCTCTCGCTTGCGGCTCTGTGAATACTTATTTGTACGAACAACAATAAAAAGCTTTTTTAGTTACAAATTTATGACTCGAGAAAAGAACCCCATGAGATCGCAAACGGTAGTCTGGTATTAAATTGTCCATGCAGGAACCGGTTTTTGGTAATTTATTGTCGTGCAGAAATAACCCGTTCAACTATTCATTGAGGGGATAAAATCTTGATAAACGTGGCAAAGTATAGTTGTCTTACACTTTGGACAGTGAACGTCCACACTTTTAACAATACAGTTATGGACGATTGACCGTAACCTCAAACAGCCTGAAAAACAACTTAGTGAATACTTTAAACCAAACAACTAATATAAGGTAGGTAAAGTAGCCAAACTTAATTTGACATCGAAAATGGGAATTATTTCAGGAAATTCCTTTTTAATCCGTATTTCTCTAAATTTGGAGTAACGGAGGATGTATCTTAGGTTAGACAGTAGATAGTTTTACTTTTTAGCAAGGTATTAGGCTCATCCAGCTTTCCAGCTGTTGTATCAATCTGTGTACAATTCACCAACATGACTGAGTCGGCGTATTACTGAAATGCGTATTTAAACGTAATTAAATTGCGGACAGCTTTTTCTCACTTTGATTTCGAAATTTCCCCCATTTTAACTGTGCTTAACGAACGCATTTAGGTGACGCTTTTCCTTCTATTCCTAGAGATAGCAGCGATGAGATACTTTCATATCCTCCTCCTGATGATTTCAGGTAAAGAGTTGGGTGTCTTAAATGCCAAAAGAAAATGGCTCTAACACAGCAAGTTTCATTGAGCAATCAGGATTCTTTTATTATTTGAGGTTTTTTAAGTGATCTCGTTTAGCTAGCTTCAAGGCTTTTTTAGTTTCGATTCATTGAAACACCATATTAACTGAGCTCGTGGTTGCCTGTGGTAATGCCTGGCCATTGATATCCATCAGATGATTTCCAAAGATAAAGATACTTTATCCACAATAATTGCATCTTGTCAACTACGAAATGAGTGCCGGAGAAACCTTTTTTTATCAAGAACAACAATAATCATGGATGGAAATACAGAATTATTACGTTTTAAATATTTTAAACTTGTTCATTTAGTTTGTAATTTAGAAATGCATTTGAACTTGAGAGATTTGCCCTTAACTCTTCTAGGTACAATATCTAAGAAAGAAAGACCCAGCAAAGTCCATATCTCAGGACAAGTTTCACCAACCGCAACTAAACAAATCCAGCTAAAAAGGGACTTTCTTTATGGGCAGCAACCCTTGGCCGGCCCACTTCCTGTGTACGTTCCGCCTGTAACGAGATGGAACAGTGAAATTATGCGGCAGGAAAGAGGAGACAACCGCGGATTTGTGGCGCAACGAACAGCAAGGCTTTCTGCTCAATTCATTCCATCTCTTCCTGGCGTGAGCTCTAAAGTGACTCAGTTCCACTACAGGGGTGCTAAAAAAACACAACCAAGGGAAACAAATAAACCTGTTTTGCCTGATATTAATTCAACAAACGGTAATGAAAGCTGGTATGTTGCATGACTTGTATAATGGTGTGGTCTATAGAGTTTAAATCAGTTCCTTACCACTCGTTTAATTGAACCCTTCTAAATCCTTCGAAGGAAATTGGAGCGGAGAAAAGAGAGGGCACTATATTAAATGAAAACTGACCATAAATTTTCAGTTTTAAATGCGACTTTGTTTAGAGTAGAATTGAGACTAAAAAAAAATAAGGTGAAACCTGGTTTGAGCCGTCACTAACGGAACTCAAGCAAGTGTTTGACTTTATACAGGATGTCCGCTGAAACAGATTTAGTCAATCAGTTGCGCAACAGTGGCTAATCCCCAAATAATACAGAATGTGTAATCACCAGCATCGCAAATTTGGTCCTGGATAAATGAAAAAAGTCCTTTATTGAAAAAAAAAATGTTTTGAATGTAAAAAATGTAGTCTTGAGCATTTATCGCTTCAAAGAAATGCTACCATTTTATGTCCACTTTAATGTAGGTTTTATGTAACAATGGGGGTTAATTTTGGCGTGCGCATGTGCTTAATAGAGGAGTTTACTGTTTATAGGGTTATTTTACGCCAAGTATGAGGAAAACAGTTAAGAACTTGTGCCAGTGTTCGCTTTAGACAGTGTGTCTGCTTAACATGGGGTCCACTACAGGTTTAACAGAAAAGTGAATCAAGTAATGAAGACCTTGAGCAAACCACGACGGCGACGGCAACGAGGACATGGAAAAACAAAAGATCTGATTGGCAGAACAATAGCTCAGCACGTGCGTTTTAAAAATTTGTACATTTCTTAGTCGTCCTATGCAAAACAACAACGTGAAATCACCACAATTTGCGTCGTCTGCGAACTGAAACCGCGACGGCAAATTATTTTAATTTCCATTTGGAACTCAACGCTTCTTTTATACGTTATGCTGAAGTTGAGGTGTGGCGCCGTATGAGACGGTAGACAGAAAGGCAGAAATTCATTTTTCAATCGAAGTTTTCCTTGGCGTTGCCGTCCTGATTGCTTAAGGTCCCTAATGTGGAGTTATTCGAAAGGATGAAACCAAATTTTCGTAGGCAGAAAGGCAGAGAGGCCTTTCAAACTTCGCCTTTTTTCCCTAAAAGTCATTTTTTAACCTTTAGGGGAAAGCCACGAAGGGCAGGCTAATAATTTCCAGAAGAAAAGTTCAACTACCAAACAAAGACAAAATCGTCACCAATCAACGTCTGCGAGTGACCAAAGCTCGGCTGGGAATGGAGGTGGAGGTCTTGGCTCTTTATTGAAAGGAGCAAACGTTCAAGGTGCTGTTGTAGAGAAGGGAATTGAGGTGATGGGTAAGCTAGTGGATAAACAGTTACAGATCATCGATGAAGCACAAGAGAAGGCTGAAAATTTCTTAAAAAAGGAGGTTTGACACCTTTATCTGATTTCATCACATTTCTCTACCAACTGGAAGTGGATTTAATGGATTGGGGGAAAGGCTTAATCGAAGATAGTGGGAAGGGGGAGTTTCCTCATTTTTCCATTATTTACTTCGAAGAGCTTTTTAACCTAACCGTCCTTCTAAGATATTATGCAATCTGGGTTTCATTTTACTTCATTTTCAGAGTTTTCGTTGTCTCAAATATATATTGTGTTTACAGATGTAAGAAACTCACTGCTATTCAAATCAGAGAGCCCTTTGGGCCAGTCATTAGTAAAAACAAGAAAAAGAAAAATGCTATTCATATAACTCGCCGAAAAAACCTAATTCCATTCCTTTCAGGCTTCGTAGTTAGGCAGATCATATCAAAACATTTTGAGTACTTTCCGAACTTGTACTTTCGTCACTTTTAGTCGACGTTCTCTCGGAATTTTGCAGGATCACCTCTGAGTTCTTTTCAATAAAAATTCTGTTTTAGCAGGTTTAAAAGTTGAGCAAGGGAGACTACTTAAATGATAATTTAGGTCGTTTAGCAACATTGTTGGGGAAATCTTAGCGAGGATATTGGCTGGTTGGCAGCCAAAGGTGGTGTCGTTTTTTGTCAGTTCTCCCTAAGATAAGACAACATATTATGAACTAAGACACTTATTTCAACACAGTATTGATAAATTAAGCAGTAACCGTGGAATATTACTAACTTGCTATCCCAACTTTGGCAGATAAAGTTAGACATCGTACCCGATAAATCCTGGCAAACTGATGATATGTTCATCCCAGCCGGTTACCACATGAACTCACACATCTCCAGTGAAGACAGCGCTCCTAAGGAAGTCGGTGAGCCACCCTATACCTACCCAGCAGGCGTTGGGAACGTGTTAATGAATGGCTGTTGGGGCACTGGGTACCAAGAGGGAGATCCTTGCTACGCTGCTCGGTGGAAATTAGAAGCATGCTTGGTATGGTAGTAGTTCTGTTTTCTTCATAGCAACAGTTAGTTCTGACTTTGCAAAAGCCAGGAACTCTACCTATACCAAAGTCATCAACGCTGTAGATGAAATAGAAATTTAGTTGTGCTATTTACAAGCAATCTTATGATTCAGGTGTGGACATATCTCCCATAATTTCGCTCTCACTCGATTGATTAAGGGGCCAACATGTCGTTGCTTTCGTGTCTCACTTCTGCAGAACTTGATTGACGGCGCGGCTTTTATGGGTGTTGGATTTGACGGGCGTGGTGAGTACAGCCCCGAATCAAGAAAAATGAGCATCGTGCAGCGAAACTGCGCTGGGAAAGCAACGTAAGTATGATATTGCTCTCTTTGTAAGTGCTCTGCCTCTATTATCCAGATTGTTATGGGTTTTTTGTTTGAACATGTAGTGGTACTAAGCACATTTGATAACAATGCTACTGTTTGGACTTAAAAACTCTGCTTACTTTCAAGACAGTCTGCTCCCAGTTGGCTTTATAGCTCAGTCTAGTGCTACAACAGTATTGCAGAGTAGTCATGGGTTCGCGCCCCGTTGAGTCCGATTGTTTTAGGTTATGTATTCACGATTACTGTACGGGCGTGTTTAAATGCGGTGACTTCTGTTAAAATCTCAAAAGTCACTCTAACTGATTTTGTTGGTTTTATTTTTTAAGATACGATGATTACGATGTCCCTGACACAATGAACGTTCATGGCATCTACGACACCAAAGCGTCCATGGTGACCTTTGAGAGCCGCAGTGAGTTTCAGAAATACTTACAGGAAGAGGCTGGGGTGTCTGGGTCGTACTTCGGCTTCTACGCGGGCGTCAAGGTGGGTTGGGGCGAGTCAGAGACTCAAGCCAGTCAGAAGTATATGGCTCTCCTACACGTTGACATCAACAGGTACATAAAAACGTTGTTCGATTGTTATTTCCCTTTACTTTTGTGGTTTAAGGTTGTTCCATCATTATTTTATAAGTATAGCACTAGTGGCGGATCCAGAGAGAGGGTCCGGTGGGTTCGGATTTTCGCGCGTTTGAGGCAATATACTTGTTTTTCATTTCTTCCCTCAGCATCTCGCGATTATGTCTTATTTTGTATTCTGATTGACAGTTGTTGTTGCATTTCGTTTATGACGAGAGGAAATCCGACCTGCGATCGTAAGTTGTTTGGGGAGCGACTCCTATCTTCCGGCCCCCGACTTCGTTTCTTTAACAGGTACTCTTTTATTTTCGACTCTCAGGTATGAGATTTTTATAGACGAAGTAAAGCCAAAGGACTTAAGTGCGTCGTTTCTGAAAGAATTTATGGCCCTACCGACCTCTTACTTTGCGGCAGGAGCGCCCATGAAGTATTGTAAGTGTGTTTTTCATGTTTGCTTTTGTATTTAATTAAAACATGACATTTGGTTGTCATTAACTTTCCTTAGGAGATAAACTATAGTTTTAACTTTTAAGTTAAAACTCAATTGAGCATTTTTGTGTTTAGGTCACAGTAAAGAATGTAAGAGTGTATGCCCGCAGTGTATGTATGATGTCCTCAATACACTACCCACATGTACGCTTTTCGTGCCTGTTTTTGTAAATTTTTTTTGCGTTTTGATCAACTTTTGTAGTGGATTTCATACAGAGATGGGGCACTCACTACATCAAGTCTGCTAAGTTTGGAGGCCAGCTCCAGATTCGTAAATTCATGGACGCAAGTGACGTTTCCAGCAAGAAAGAGTTCGCACGAGAAATGGAAGTGGAATACAAATCCTTGTTCGCTAGTGTTGGAGCTAAGGAAAGTAGAAGAGAGGGAGAATCGTCCAGGCAACAGGCAAAAACAACATCGACGACGATTCTTGCCATGGGAGGAAGTCAACAAATTGCTTCTATTTTATCCGACGCATATTCGCCAGCTTTTAAGAACGAGTTTAAGGATTGGCTTGCATCAATTCCTCAATATCCAAAGCCGTTTGAGTTTCAGATGGCTTTAGTTACAACTCTTCTTAACTTCCGACTTCACGATTTGTTTCCCGAAGAGAGAAGTAACTGGGGATGCGAAGGAAATGCTGCAAAACTCAAAGAAGAGATCTCAGCAAATGAAGACAGGTTAAAGTTTTATGAAACGGTGGACTCCAACGGGACAGTTCAGAAGTACTATTGTAAGTTTGATAGCCGAAAGTCTCTGGAGGAGGCAATTACAAGGAGAAGAATCAGCTTGACCAGAGCCATTGAAGTCTACATGAAGGAGGTCAGTGACACACAAATCTCCAACATTTTATGAGGATTGCATGCTTTATAGGATTTAATGGACACACAGTGCTGTGTGAAAGTTTTTATCACAACGACTACCATTTTTCTCAGTTTCTTCACGAATTAATCACTTCCACCCCATATTAGAGTAGTATCAAGACAACTCGAGGAAACATCATTGCATGTTGATTTTTCAATTGCTGTTTATTTATTCATTTATTTATTTATTTGGTAAGGGCCCGAATTCGATTACGGACATTCAGTTACCACCATGCAATAAAGACAGTCAAACAAAACCCGGAGCTGCACAACCGGAAACAACAGACCAAGCCGATGAAGCAGTAAAACACAAAAAAGTGGTCGGCCTTAGCTGGCAGCATATCACAAAAGACAAAGCCTTATTTCGAGTTATCTTTGACATGAGAAACGATTTGAAAGGTACCAAGGACTTCAGTGACATTCCGAAAAATATGAGTCGTTTGGTTCGCTACAAAGATGGCAAATGGTTCACGGCTGAAAAAGATGGCTCTTTTCACCTCTACAATGCCTTCAGAAATGGAAAAAGCGGCGATTCTCAACAGCATAAAATATCTATTCTTGGTCTCGTGCTTTCCTTCAATCCAAACACCGGCGGGCTGACCCTTTTGTCACGTGATTTTGAAGCGTCAAGAGTGTTTTTCCCAAACCTTCACGATACACTGGCAGGAAAAGAGCTGGGGCGAGCCGTTTTAGATTCGAGTATCTCCGAGTCTGGTGCTTCAAAGCGTGAAACCTTAGCTGACCCTCCCTGCAATGTCAAGTGGTCAAATGCTCTCCGGTTTGATCCTACTGAAGCCAAAGGGAAGTGTCTCCATTTCACAGCCTCTAGTGAGGGAAACATTTTTGTCGTGTTTGCAACTTTACCGATCGATAAGACCTCTTGGTATTACATTGAAATTACACCTCAGAAAGTGGCTATTTACAAGGTAATGATCAATGAATCTACGCAAATATGTCTCCTTTGAGAGTCATTCTAAGCGAGATAAATGTAAACACAGCATTTTAGTCAGAAAACATGACAAATGTCCTCCGAAAAAATGACGCCAAATTAAGTTGAAAATGAAACTACCTTTGGCAATTGAAACCCTTGACGTAATCCATGGGCATGTACACACTACAGGGTTAATCAGTAATTGTACCATTAAAATACAAAAGTATTTTAAGAAAATACTATCTTCAACTCGTTTTCTGCCCATACCAAAACTCAAAAGTAGCGTTTGCACATTCATCCAGTTTAAAGAGCGTTTTCAAAAATTTCTTTTTTTTCTGTAAACATATTATCCACAAATAAGGCGCGCGGAGAACATGGGGTGAGATCGAGTCAGAAAAATAACGCACACTTTCTGCTATCAGGGACTCGTACTTAAGACCTCCACGACAAACATCAATGCGAGAGGTCTGGGCGATCCAAACCTGCTTCAGTCATACTTTGTGTGCGTCACCGAGTCCGAGTCAAGCACACTTATTGAATATGGTAAAACACTGGGAACCACTCAAAGTGGTGACGTGTACCTCAACATGCTTGACTTGGAAAAGCCGCTGAATGCTCGCTTTTACGCGTTTGGGAATGGAGACAAGAAAGCTGACGTCATTGATGCCCACATAGTAGCACGTGATCAAACAAAAGCCGAGTGTAAAGGCGACACGTTTATCGACCTGACCACAAGGCTGTGCACGCAAGAATGTCACGAAGACTGCGATCCCTTATACGGTAATTTATCTCGTACCTATTTTCGGCTGAATTTACCTTGGAAACTATGACGCTATGTCATACAGATTCCGTTTTAGTAAGACAAATAAATGAGATCTTAAATAAAATGTAAGTACCTGTGAGGTGTAGTAACCAACATGAAGTTAAGGAGGATATTTTTACTTTACTCATCACTCTTCTCAAAACTGATAAAGAGACATATTTTATTACATGGGCTTTAAGTTGGTTCTTCTTCTTTTCAATTTTTGATTATTTTATTTTCAGGTTGCAACACATTGTCGTCGGGGGATCCTTTACCGACTGAGTGCAATGTTTGTCGAGTAGCCAAAGATAAGAATACCGGCAGTTGTCTTCCAGAGTGTCCCCCTGAAAAATTCCTCACAGCTGATAAGCTGTGTGTCGACCTCAGTTGTAAGTAAAGAGGCCGATGCCATTTAAAAGAGTTATTTTCAACTGAGGGTAAAGTATTCTAGGATTGCACGAAATTTACTTTTTTTCGTACCTAAAATAGCTACGGTTCGTGTGAGACGACTCCTTGAGGAAACAACCAGACAGTAGCGTTACTGACACAAGCCTCACTTGAAGGCTTAGCAAGGCTTTGCCTTAGGCAAGCCAGGACAAACAGGTAAAACGGCGCCAAAGAAACACCGGTAGCGTGATTTCCAGGCTGAGATGAAGAAATGGGACCGTGCCTGGACTACACTCAAAGGGTAGGCCAGTAAAGAACGAGGTGGGAAAGTGAGATCGTCGATGGCCTTTGCTCCAGGAGGAGCTGGGGCGTACTTCTCTCTAGAATAGAGATGCGCGCGCTCTGATTGGTCGAGTATTGCGTCATATCTCGCTAAAATCAACTCGCCCGAGGTGATCACAACAGGGGTGCTAAATTCTCAAATGGATGCCTCGCGTTTTCTCAATGTTACCGAGGAAGTAATAGACGCAATTGAAGAAAATTCAATTCCGAAGAGCACAAAGATGCTACTAAGTTTGACGTAACACTCTTTAAAAGAAAGATATGACGTTTATGCTGATTGAATGAACTAAAACTGTTTCAAAATTCTAGTGGAAACAGGCTGCTCATCTCGATACAAACCTATAAATCAAAACATTTGTAACAGAATGGTTTCAACAACAAAACAAATTTACAACAGAATTCGAAAGCACCTGAGCAATAATACTAATACAATTATTCGCCTCAGGCTCGGTGAATATTTTTTAATAACCCTCCCTCGACTTCATCTTAGGGATCGTTCACCAATATTCAATTCGCCTTTGGCGAATGATAATTATACAACTGACTATGTGAGGCGATATTATAATTTTAAAACAACCAAATCAATGACAAAACTGTTTCCTAGATAATTCTCCGCCGTTACCGGAGTTAATGAGTGTTCTTTTGTATTCGCATTATAGCAACTTATGACATGGAGTTCCAAACCGAGGACAACGCCCTAAGGGCGAGTGTCAGGGAGATACCTGAGTTACAAGCTTTAACCCTGTGCTTTTGGATTCGTCTTCCTCAAGGCTACAAGACAACACGTTTTCCCTACCCCATAATCGATTACAGAACTGGAAGCAATAGACTTGAAACAGTCACGGTGTACTTGTCTGAAAACCATGAGACAAAAGATATCAAACTGGAACTGACCTTTATAGTAGGAGGAGGGGAAACGTAAGTGGAAAGATTTCTTTTCGATGCACAAACTTGCTTGCATTGAATACTTTATGTACCCAAAGTAGCAGTCGAAAATCCCATATTTGAAGAAGAATGCAGAGCAGAACGGTGCGATCCTCAGTCCGCAAATCTTAGGTCTTTTGTACAGCACAGTACAGGAGTGACCTATTTTAGCTCAGCAGAAAGCATTATTGGTTCAGGTACTACTATTCTCGAGCGGAAAACTGGGGTTCAGTATAATAGCGAGCTCAATAAGGAAGAGTTTCCAGAGGCAGATAGCAATCTGGGATTCAGAGTTCTTTGAATTCCCTGGCGCATAATTTTTTTTGTAACGTTTTTCTTAAAAAAGAGCACTTTACAACTGATTGCTAGCGATCAACATTTATCAAGAGCGGCCGCATCCGCCACACAATCGAAGTCCGAGGCGAAAGAGCGTCTTTGCGTCTGTGTCGTTTACAACTTTTCATCCTCGTTTGGCAACATTGTACCCTCGACATTGATGATCCTAGCAGTACACAATACGCGTGTCGCAAGTGAAAATAGTATCGCCTTAAGTCACCAACGAGTTCTCTGCTTTTCAGCGATGGAGGTCTGAGACTCGAAGCCTCGTGAGGGATGGTAAGCTCGTGCCAAAAAACGAATGCATTCGTTCTTTAGTTGTCGATCGAGCTCGAAATCGAATTTTCTCATCAATCCTAGAAATTTGCAGGAAGCCACACATGAACCTTGTATACTAGCCTTTCTCGCGCAAAGGCTGGAGATCTTTATACTTTTTATTTACCGTCTCCCTTCTTTTCTCTTCCCTTGCTGCGTTACCAATTATTAATTTATGTAATGTATTAATCCAGGTTATCAGTAGGCGTCTTATCAGATCAAAACTGGCACCAGATCTGCATTTCGTGGGCAGGCCACAGTGGGGTGACCATACAGTACCTAGATGGTGTGCGCAAGGTGGCCGACACTCGACACATAGGAACCTTGGAGGGTGGTGGAAGGCTGACAGTCGGTCATCACACAGAGTATGTTTATCAAATAACCGGCTTGCATCTCTGGGACAAGGTGATTCCTCCCGAAGAGATCGCCGAGTTTGCCACAGCGTGTGAAAAAGGAAATGGAAACGTAAAAACCTGGGCAGATTTTTACGATTTTGCGGTGGAAGAAAAGATCAAAATTAACACGCCTTCAAATTGTCGGGTGAGCCCAAGTGATGCTCAGTAAATAGTATGGAAAATCTTGGCTTATATTGTCCCAGGTCACATTCAGAATAAAAGTCATTTGACGTCACGGTATGTTTGAGTCTGCGTTATCTTACTTGGGTGATTATTTTGATACGATGGAGAAAAGCTGGGACCCAGTTTAAGGATGGCTTAGGCGCTGAATCAAAAGAGACTCAAAATAGTACGATAGTGAACTCAAGGACATACTGTGTGGATTATATTTAGAACAACAGTGATTGCACTTAAAGCTCATCCTGTGATTCCAAGAAACAGAATTGAGCCGTCATCCTCACAAAAGTCCTCCCCAACAAATCTGCCAAATTTAGTGAGATGCACGCTCTTCCCAGACTCCTAAGGCCGCGCTAACCCCACAAAATTTTCATATCCAGTCCCAGCATTACTCGTTCCATGTTAAACATATCCACGAATAAAAAGCAAAGAGCCCTTAATTACTGTAAGGACCTCGAATTCGTTAAGTAAGACTGGTAAATTTGCAGGTCTTCTGTACTTATCAGCTCGCCAAACGTCTTAAAAGCTTCGATTGAAGTTATCAAGTTCACTATTCGTTTTCAGTGCCTGAGAGCTCGAACCCGTGCTTTTGCGTTTGCATGCAATCCTCATTAATTTAACTCATATTACTTTACGTTTACAATATCCTGTGTGACAAATAAACGTAGAGATGCTCGATTCTCTGGTTTAAATCATAAATTCTCGATCTTTAAACATTACATCGACGCGTAATTTGTGAGTTTCGATAACAGTTTCCGATTTGACGAAAGTGAACGCTCGGGGAAAATTCGCGATGTGTGACATGAATAACTTCTCCCTCGACTAATCATTCTTAAGAATTTCTTCCACAAGTGATCATTTCTTCAGCGTCCGTTGTTTCTCTGCATGCTCGACAGTTTTCTCTTCCACATAGAGTCCTTTCCTTCGCCGAACGCTGTTCATATATTTTCGGGCTTGATTTTCTGAATCAGCTTTCTCGCCGAAATGTGTGTATTCCTCCTCTGTTGTGGGAACCCAAAACGGGTCAATATCAACAACCTGCGATGAAAGAAGCAACAAGGATCAACAAAATTACTTCATTAAAATCAGGATGATGACTTTTTCTGACCCTTAAGCTTTCTCCAACCCTCCACCCCCTCCTCCCACGGTATTTTGTCAAGCTTCCCTGACAGTCCACTAGCACCCCTTAAACTCCAAGGTGGAGAGGGGCATCATGACGGTAATGGTCTTTTCCAAGAACACAACACATTGAGCGGGTCGGGGCTCGAGCCAGACCTCTCGAGTGAGTGGCCTTTCGTAGAGGTTTGACTGTATCAAATAAAGCCTTCAATATACAGTGAGGTTCTACGATACCACCAGAAACAAAGTACTGAAATTCTAACCTCCCAATGGCTAAATACAAGCTGTGGATTCGCCAGTCCGCTTGTCCGCTTTCTTATTTCTTCCGCAAATCCAAAACTTTCCGCTACCGGAAGTACGGCTGTGACGTCAAACACGTCTGAACCTTCCTTCATTTCCTCCTTCAGTACCCGTCCCTCCCGTTTGGCTAAAACCGCGTACATTCGTCCCAGGACCTCCGCTGTCGTTTGAATGTCACATGTGTACATAGCTGCCATGAGGCGAACTGGCTGAAGCAAAAAAGCGCGCCTGCAGCCTTCCTTGACGGCGGACATCAGCTGTCCAGAAAATGGTCCGAACCTATCAAGTCTTTGTGATGGAACATTTTTCGAGCTGCTATTTTCAGATTCTGTGGAAAAATTATTCTGATACTCGATCTTTTCACCGCTCATTTCGTTAATTTTTTCATTGTCTTTGCATGCTTCATTTTCGTCAGTATTCCCGTCAACATTATAATCTTCCTTGTTCGATACACGTTCCTGCCCTAAAGTCTTTCCTCTGCTCATTCCAGTGATACCAAGGGTGTTTGAACCAGCCTCCAATGAAATCCAATTTTCTACGACAAAGCATACTCCCATCAAGGGTTCCTCGCAGAGCGGACCAGCAAGAGTTGCCAGCTGAAACCCACTGACGATACTGTTATCATATTCGCGGTAACTGCTTTCTGATGATGAACAAGTGCTTCCTGTTGCGACCAAAAATATATATAAAAGTCACTGCAGTCGCCTTTTCAACATTGCAAAAGAGTGTTGTAATTTAGCCGTGTTTTACTACTTTTCTTCGCCGTTACACCAGAACTTCAACTTACTTTCCGATTGTGAAAATCATCAACAAAAGAACTGTAAGACAAGCAATATAAGAACGCTTAAAGGTGTGACAATTTTTTTTTAACAAATTATCTCCCTTGAACAAGCAAAATACAAGCACACGGCTATTTGCCAGCGGACCATCGGAGAATAACAATTTCTTATAATGATGATCAAAGTTGAAAGCATTCAACTTGCTTTATCTAGATCGCAAAGGAAATCAACGTCAACAAGGAAATATGTCAAACACTGAGCTCATAAAGTAGAAAAAGGAAGGGAACACAAAACAATCAGTCAAAAAGTCCAACTTACCAAATAGACCTGAACTTTGCCACATGGAAGGTCGTTTGTAGCCTGGTATTCTATTCAGCAAAACATTGCTACCAATTCTACGTGGACCAAAAGCCCAGATATCATCCGCAGCTCCATCCCACATAGTTCCCGCTTCTTTAAAAGCAATGCAGAGCTCTTCATAGAAACCTTTCAATGCTTCTCTGGTAGGAAGTTTAACTTGATCTACCAATTGCTTCCGTTCTGCTAAGCTCGTGGCTGATGACAGTGTCACTAAGATTTTTATCAAATCACTTTCCTTCTCAAGTAATTGCGTAACATCGTCAGGTAAAGGCAAAGCCCTCACTTGGACACTACAGAGTTTGTTGGCCGTCTTGATTTCAATGATTCCTCTGTCTTTATCCAAGACGTTTTTATCACTTTCCTCTCCTTCGATGTCGATTTCTTTCGGCTGGGTCGAATTCGTTTCGCTGATAATAGCTTCGTTTACCCTATCTACAGTGGGAGGAACAACGATGGTTTCTCTGAACGGAACGATAGGCGCTGATACATTAAGTTTAATGCCAGCAAAGAGCTTCTCTAGGTCATCAATACACCGCTGAAGATGAACTTCCCCAGCGCCCACGATCACATGCTCACCTTAAACGAAATAACAAAAGATTTGTTTTGTGCTTAATATATGATGTATGGAGCTGATAATAATAATAGCAGCCTTACAATATCAATAGTAATGGTAATAATCAAAATCGTAAAATATTAATCATAATTCTAATAATGATATTAATTAATTAAAAAGTGGTAATAATAACAGACAGACTTCACGACTTCTCCGTTCCGTACGGTTTGGTCGTTTTTTATAGCTTTTCCCTGCCGTTGAGGCGTTCCACTACAAAAAAAAAACACACCCTAAAACAGCAAAATCAAACTAAAGTGATGCTATGAGGTCACACAAAGCTGGTCGTAATAATAAGGGAGGTCTGGTATGTCTTTTAATGGTTGCGACGCGTAATTGGCTCCTGTGTGGGAGACTCGTAATCCTATTGGTTAGTGTGCTTGGCTACCGATCGATGTAATGGGCCTCTAGGATCCTGACACCAAGAAAACTTACCAGTTTCCTGCACTAAAGTTTCAACACAAGGATCCGCCTGGTTAAGTAGTCTCATTCCCCTTGCGAGCGCAGGCATGTCAGCCGGGTGAACTGGCTCTACTGCGACGCGAACGATGGGACGAGCCTCGATTGGAAGAGCAGTGAATGGCGGACAGGTAGCAGTGCTGGAAATTGTAGCAGACTTGAGCACGTGACTCTCAAGGCCACCAATCCCCAGAACATTCCCGGCCGGAACAGAGTCCAGAGCTTCGAGCTCTCGTCCCATGAGTAAATAGAGGTCTTGAACGGCGAAGGAAGCCATATGTTGATTTGTACCTCGATCAACAGACTTCGCCACTGAAAGGCCCTCCTTTGCCTCTTCTTTATTACTAATTAAAAAACGAGAGATGAAAAAAGAGAGCAAAAAATACGTAAGAAATCTAATAAAAGGTAAGTGACAGACGACTTTCTACAAAGACAACAGAATAACTACTTTGATTCTAACGTAAAGTATAAAACGCATTTGACTGGCATCGCATTCAAGGCCAAAGTAGCATGGACATTCTATATCTTTGAATACTTCACACAAGCGTGGTTATAAGAATTGACCTATTTTTAAATAAGCAAACCGGAATATTTCTTCTGACTCAATTGCCAAAGCTAGTAGCGCTAGCCTTGACTTATTAGTGCTCTTGACGTTTCCGACGACCAAAGAACTTGTCAAAATAAGTTGCATAAAATGAAAAAAAACAGCCTATACAACGTGAAACCCTGTACCTGGAAGCGTCAGATTGGCCTTGGTCCTCGAGCGGCACTAATTGTTTATCCAGGCCCTCTCGTGGATCATGTTTAGGGCCCAGCACGTACAGCCGCTGACCCTTCTTGATGGTCCCGCTGTAAACCCGTGCGAATGCTAACACGTGACTTTTCGGAGTCTCTTCATCTTCGGTGAGCTTTAAAACCTTGGTGCTTTCGTTCTCTTTGTTTTCTTTACCTGCTGCTGGTTCCAAATTAAGAGGAGTGCTTTTTTCTAACCCAGCATTATTTGCCATCATCTCAGCATGTCTTTTTCGCGCTTGCTCGCGTCGAGCAGCAATTTCTTCTTGAGTCAGTGGCCTTAAAAGTGAATATAAAGTTGTGGCATTTGTGGCAGAACACCTCAAAAGCGTTCGTCAGGTAAATAGCTGGACATTTCAGTAAATCTTGGAGATTTCATGGAAAAAAATGTAACAAACGTCAAATAATAAAGTATTAGTTCACCTTTTACGATGCTTAGGCAGAGCACTATCTTCAACAGCAAACATTTTAGAAACAAAGACTATAACTGGAGCATCGTCTGAAGACCTGCAGGTCAGAAAATCTGAAGGAAAAAAGAAAACGGATGCCATGGAGCATTTCAGAAAACAGCAAAACAGTTCTTGGCTGATTATCAGAACTGGCGCCGTGTGGTCAAGGAATGAATAACCACAACA